CCACGTGGGGTGAGGATGTAACAGCATAACAGGGTCAAAAGACACAGGGGAATGATAGTGTGGTGACCCAATACTCGAGGGGTGTCAGAGAGCAGACGGACAACACTGAGCAGTGTAATAAGGCAGCAGCAGGCGGTTACCAGGTGGAGATCACACTCACACATAAACACACACATGTTCAAACACACGCACACAGGGTCGATAATGTATTTTTCACTGTGCCTGCTTCATTCAGTTTTCTCTCTTGCTAAACTTTGCAACACCTCTAGTGTCAGCTGATATTAGCTTATTGCAGATATAGTATCTACATTGGGCAAAATGTAAAAAGAAATACAAATGCCAAAGACATGTATGCAGTATCTTTTTGCTTTGTTTAGTTTTACTTAGAGTATTTCCCTTAAAGCAATTTCAAAGGGCTGTTTCCTTGGGCTGTTTTATAAATGTATAATTATTTATAATATTATTTTGTTGCTATTTTTGACTTTTCACAGACAAAACCATTAATCAATTTATTGGGATGGGATATTTAAACAGTGATACAAAATCACTGTAAAAACAGCCTAATAATTTATAACCTTTTATTACATGTCTTAAAAAACTTAAAAAACATCGATCTTGTTGATACCACAGTCACACAATACTTCCATCGAGCACAAACTGACAACTCACACCTCTCTCTCCTGAAGACATACATGTGTGATTGTATTAAGCTCACCTTATCTAACTTTAAAAGAAAGTGTGCATGTGTGTGTTGGCGTTTTTGTCTGGCTACCTGAAAATCTGCAAGCAAGATTTGCTTCGCAGAGCTGCAAGCTTCAGAAATAGTGACTTGTGAAAGATTAATGAGAGGAAAGAGGAAGGGAAGAGAAAAACAAAAACAAAATGAAAGTCTTAGACGGCAGACGGAGAGCCGGGGGGGAGTTTAGTTCTTTTGAAACACAGAAACCTTTTAAAATCTCCTGGGAGTCCACGTGAAGTGCAGACCTCTCACTGGGAAACTAGAAAGGTTTAAATATCAGCCTCCCATTAGCCTACCGATAAATCAGGCTAATTAGCCTATTAGCCCTCTGAACTTTACATTCTAAATTACTTTTCTAAGCACATGCTGTTATCCAATCTGCAATCTGAATGTCCAAAACAATTTCCTGATGGTATCTTTCTCCATGACTTTATTTTCAGTTTTTGCTTTAATCACCAAAACAATTACATATTATTGAATCAACCAGGGCTTACCGTCCTTCCTCTGCCATCACTCATACAGGACAAAAGTCATTAAAATCCTCATTAATCTGAAACCAAAGAACACAGTGTAACCCTCTTGAGAGATTGAAAACACGTAGCTGGCACTCAGCAGTGCAGCAGGATAATATTTCTTTAATAACGCAGACAATATTCAGGAGTTCAAAGGACAAAGCTGCCTCTCACTTTTACTCCTGGTCATGCCAGTGTGAATTAGTGCTTACAGTGTTACAGACATCAGAGACTGCAGGAGGGAGGTCCTGGCCGCGCTGCAGCAGAGCGGGGAAGGTGGAGTCAGGAGTGTGTAGACACACAGACAGCCAGATAGCTGTAATTACTTCAGCAGCAGACAAAGATTAATTAAACAGGAGAGTGCAGAATTAATGAGGTTAGCGTGCACCTCAACCAGACTTTAAAAAGTTCACACCATTCCCGTGGAGACTGCAGGCTGTGTGGAGATGCACACAAAGACGACGAAACAACTCGTGGAATTCAATATTTCCCCATTTTCCATTTTGAAAAAGCCACAAGAGAGATGTTTTTATACAAACATGCAGTCTGGGGAGTAAGGTGTTTCTGAAGCATACAAATCCAGGTGAATTTGCTGTTTAGAACCAGATGCTTTAAACTAATCCTCCTCTTAAAGCTAAGTTAATTACACATGAAAGCAAAGGGATCATAGCTGATTATCTGAAATCGGCAAAGAAGTGTACACAGGTGTAATTGCAAAAAAGATGAGATCAACAAAAGCTCATTCTATCCTCACAGAGGCCCATGGTTAACTGCATGCTAAAATCAGACAGCTAAGCTTTCTTCCCTCTTATGCAAATGTGAGTAATCATAGCTGAAAATGACTAAAACCTCCACTAAATAAATCACGTTTCATGCATTATCCATTCCACCACATACGAAAGACATCACTCAAATGTGGAATAATGTTTTCATTTATCTTTTAAACACACTTTACAATCATGGAAACATCCCGGCGTCCCTGAGAATACATAGGATTGAGCAGCAGAAATACTGGTTGCCTTTACATCACCCAAAAACGTACAGTATAGAAATAGAAATCTCTGAAGTCTAACTGACAGCTGGCCAACGTTGCATTAACATGTCATATGCTTGCTCCAAGTCCTGCACCACAATTGGACTACTTCCCAAATCTGACTGGCAGCCATGATGCTCTGCAGCGCCCAGAATGTCTTTAGACCCCGAGACAAATGGTTTCAAGTTTTCTGTCAGAGGATAAGGAGGTGACGTTGTCCTGTTTTGGCCAGATAACAAGGCCTCCCTTTGTGTGGAGGGACTGTCGTTATTCTAAATCTATATAAAGGACAGATTTACCACAAGTATTCAGAGCTGGTCCTTAACGAAAAAACAGCTGGTGAGATCATGACAGCCATAGTTTATTTTACCCAGGGAAAGGTATTGGTACAATGTGGGTTCATTGTATTTGAGTGGCCTGTTTTTCAAATGTTTCCCGACAGTGTTTCATGTCTTACTCCTAGGTTTACAATTACCCAATGTGTTAGTATTTATTTTACAGATCTATAATTTCGCATGGGTTGAGTTCACACAAACATTTTAGCTGCAATTTACAATCATTTTCATAATCAGTTATTCTACCAATTATTTCTAGGTCAATCTTAAAAATCATTTAGTCTTTAAAATGCCGGAAGAATAGTTCAAAAAAATGTTAATCCAAGTCCACGGTGATTTGTTTAAATGTGTTGTTTTGTATAAAAATCAAAGATATTGAGTTTAATATGGTATAAAAACGAGGGACGCAGGAAATCTCCATATTAGTAGTAAACTCTTCCTGATACTATACTTAATGAGGTAACTTCGACGGTCACCTTCCACGGTAGCCCTCTACACACATCTGTCAACACAAAGAAATCTAATTAATTAGGCACTGCACTGATGGATCACACTGGAGCTTTATCAATCACTCCTGTAACACATCACTCAGCTGAGAATTGGATCACAGCCTTCACGCAGCGATAGGAGTTTGCACAAAGTCAACTGATCGATGTGGTGACAGCGAGGTGTTGAAAACATACATCGGCTAAATTGACTCAGAACATGTGAACAACTCATGTCGTCATGGAGCCTGTGTGTAAATCAGTAGAGTGATGTCAGTATGTGGAAGAAAAACTGCACCTGTTGTGTCTAATTTTCTCAAAGGGGAAGTCGTATATTCAGCCACCATTTAGATGTCATCACCAGAGGCAGCTCAAGGATATTTAGTCTACTGTGGTTAGTTATTTGGAGAGGGCAAAATGTGTACTACAATAACATCTATTCATTAAGTTGCTTGGAGATCAGGTTAAAAATATATATGTTATTTTGGAAATTGCATGTTTCCCACCTAAGAGGCAATACTTCAAATGATAATTTAAGCTTGATAAAGAGGCGAATTGTCTGCAGTAACTCCCTAAATCAAGCTTGTTTTAATTAAGGTAATGTTAACCTTTTAATGTCTCAGAAAACACACCAGTGGTCACAGCTCCTCTGGATTAATAACACTAATTCATATATTGAGAGGAAGACCTACTTGACCTGTTATCACAAGTTCTGTAACTACAGATTTGCAAAGAAAACAGGTCCACCCAACATTACAATCCACTTCACTTCTGCAATATCTCAGGCTGAGGACATAAAGTCTTCAACAACCGCAGATTAACACAAAGGAGACCTAACCATCAATACAGGCAGCCAATAAAGAATTTGCCCACAAAATCACACATTAAATGCCCAGTGCAAACACACATCACACAAATAGATGGTTGCACAGTAATCATTACAAAGGACAACGTATTAAGCACCTATAAGAACCATTATGCTTAAATAGTTTTTTTTAGTAAGATAACACACTTGATACAGAATCATAACACATAACTATTTTCCATGAAAATCTATTATTGGTTTGTCTTAAAACTCATTCACTGTAACGTTACATTATTTGATACCTCCAAGTCCCGAAGAATAGCATTAACTTTGTACTTAAATAACATAACAGAGCAACAGGTAACAGGTCTTACCTTAAACCGAGTGTTTGTTCTGGTCTTCCTCTGTGCAGAAGCCCCATCACATAAGGAAACACACCGGGTTATAGTTCATCTTATTCTTATGATAGTTCATTTTTCTGGCCACAAATGCAAACTTGGAGACGGGGCGCTCACAGGTGAACTCGCTGGACTTGATTGAAGGGAAAGCTAAACTAGCATAAAAACAAACTTTAAATATCAGTCGCCGTTTTGCTAACTGTATCCTACTGTCACCAAGTTGTCCTTAACAATGGTGCTTTCATCGTCCTCGTCATTTTTGTTGCTGTAGTTTTCATTTTTCTTGTGTATTTGTTCAAGAATTATTGAACATTTTTAGCCCATGCCGTTTCTTCCAAATTGTTAGGCTATACCGCCATCAGTACACAACCGGAAGTAGTGTTTTGTTCATAACGCAGTGTTTGTGCAGAAACGCCCCCTGGTGGTGGGGAATGAAATACAGAATAGCACAATAAGTCAATATTATGCTTATTTCATGCAGTTTCTGCAAAAACCAGGGCATAAATAAATACCGTAACCTTACATTTATATACAATTTTTAGGGAACTAAATGAGAGTAATTGAAGATAAGTTGTCTGTTGAGCATATGTATGGTAGATACAACAAGAATGACTTTTCACCAGTTTCAAGATCAGCAGTTAAAATACTGGAGATTGACAGGTAAGAAAATCAATAGATACAGAGATACACATATAATCTTCATCATTATAGCTTGTGTAGTTTAATCTTTAACACATTACACTCACATACCACCCAGTATACAACAGTATCAATTAATCCTGAGCAGACATCAATATTTTGGCCATTTATTTAGAGACCTCAGCCCTGTAAGGTTAGTGATTGAGTTTATGCCGACTTTAAAGCACCAATCAGGAAGAGCACAACGTGAACATGACATGAGCAATGTTCAGACATGTTTAAATGCATCCTCGCTTTTATAATTGTCTTGTCTTTATATGCTTACAACTCCTACTGGACCTCCAGTCTGTATCATCCATACAGCAATGAATACGTTTGATAGTTAGTTTACACAGCATGTCAATGGACACTTTCCTCTGTCACACACTCATCTTTATTGCCAAATCAAAGTAAGGATTCATTTTTGATTTGCCTGAACAAAGCCACATGAGTAAAAGCTTCATTTAAGATTGTAACTCCTGCTTCAAAGTGCTCACAACAGGAAAGGCTAGACAAAATGCAGATAAAGATGTGTGAAAAAAGTGGTATAGAGTTACAAATCACCAGTATAAAACGAAACATTCAGCAATTGATAAAGCACAAAATGCGGCTTTTAACATCAGTGTGAAAATTGATTATAAATAATAAATCACATTTTTCTGATTTAAGTTTAAAAGTAAAAAAAAGTTCTGATGTACAAATAGACTTACAAACTTCAGTTTAAAATGCCTGATCATTACAACTTTATCTAACTATAAATGTGTAATGCTTATCAAAGTGCACCAGAAGTTTTATTGATGCTGGTGGATTGAGAAGGCAAAACCCATGTACCCTACAGTATCTACACTTTTCACATTCAGACTAAGGCAAGTAGATAAAATGCCCAAAACGGTTTATAGTAAAGTGAAAAGGTCAAAAGCATCACAGCGTTAACGACTCAAATGAACTTAATGACATCTATAGCTTATAACAATCACATACAGCGAAGCATACAAATCTCTGAAATGACATGCAGTTATGTTCAGCCTTAAAGCACTATGGATTTACATGTATTATTCACATTGATGCAAGGATCACGTATCTTCAACTCTTGATTATCATTAGATATTGATGATATAAAAGATCTGTTCGATAAAACCTGATCGTCACAAACGCTACATGCTGCTTTTCAATGCACCTTTCCTTGTTTCAATAATAGTTTGTGCTCTATTTTTTTGTATTTGTACCCGCTGTATTTGTGTAGAGTAGGAATCTGAAGACTGTCTGAGCTTCCATGGTGCACCTACGCTCCCAACAGTGTATTTTCGCTGAAGCAGTTTGATTCTAAGCTGTTGTAAATTGGTGAAGTCAAGTTAGCAGAGGCAGATGTGAACCTGTATTGCTCCATTATAATGCCGAAGAAATAGTGCAGTGGAAATGTAAACCTAGTATCTGAGAAGTGTGTGGTTCTAGCCCCCTCAGTTTAGCCCCCTGACAGTGTCCTATAGGCATGGTAAATGTGGTGTTTGTAGTATTATGTTACTTTCTTTTTTTGGTCCATTGAAGCAGTGTCACACCACCCTTTGCAGGATGTAGAGGATGCCGATGCTGTCGATGGTGACGAAGGTGGAGAAGTCGGAGGAGACGTGGATCCTCTTCAGCGCTGTTCCCCTCGGAAAGAAGGTCTGCAGAGCCTTGCCTTTCTCCACATCCCACCACTGGACAAAAAGAGAGAAAGAAAGACAGTTGAAATGCTTTGGACTTTAAACAGACATCGCAGTTGCAGACAATCTTGGACTGAAAAATAATCAAGAACCGCGTTAATTAGTGAGCTTTAGAGGTGCTGATAGGTGGATTTTGTTACCGTTTCCAGTATTTATGCTAAGCTAACGGCGCCCAGCTGCAGCTCCATAGTAACCTTCATGTGTAAATGTGTCTCAGTTTTCAGAATTTCTCTCAGAACTCTTTAATAATCTATGAAAGTGTGTTGTTCGCAATAGGCTTTTTCTGAATCAGAACTTTGAGACAAACACAGGAAGAGAGAGACTGTCTTTTATTTGCTGCCAAAGAAACCATGATGAATTTAATGGTATTATATTACCAGACTGAAACTCACACAAACACTCTTCCTCGGGCTCCATCAACACACACACACACACACACACGTACCAAACCCCCACCAGCTTTTCTGAGTGATTCCGTTTAATCTCGGTTTAAAGTTGACATTTTCCATTGAAGCTCCATCTCACTGGGATGAATCATGAAAGGCACATCAAGTCCATCATTCATACTCTGCCACGCCGTGTGTGTGTGTGTGTGTGTGTGTGTGTGTGTGTGTGTGTGTGTGTACATTCAACTTTGACAATAAACATGTTAACTTCACACCAATATGTTCCCTCTTCCTTCTGAATAAAATATGACGTTAATGAAATCAATAGGTTGAAGCTTATGATGGTGTCGGATGTTTTTGTTCTAAGGCTTTAGTGTTGGAGTGTGTGTGTGTGTGTGTGTGTGTGTGTGTGTGTGTGTGTGTGTGTGTGTGTTTGTAAAAGAAACCAGGCCAACTCTGCAGGCTCTCGACAGACAGGCGGACAGACACAAGAGGTGGTGGCAACAGATGTCTAGTTTAAAGAACAATCTCCACACACACACACACACACACACAGTCCATTAATCACGATAAGACATCATTTAAATAGAGCTAATATGCATATTCCTGATATTGCATCAAAACAAGATATATGCCTAAGGTCTCCCCACAGATTGCCATGCTATACAGTTAATATACTGTGTGTGTGCGTGTGCGTGTGTGTAAACTGAAAATGGCTCAGTTTATTTCTGTTGCTGGCTGCAGGCGGTTGGCCATACTTCTGCTGATTGGACTTCCTCCACAGCAAGCTATTATAACACACACACACACACACACACATATATGTACAAACATCACACACGCACACACATGCTCACACACACAAACAAACCTAATTGAAGCTGGTAACTAATAATGGAAAGGCTTCACACTGACTTTGCCATCTTTGAATTTTGTAAAAAGAAGGTAGACATATTAAATGATAGGAGTACAAAAATGAACCTGGAATAAATGCTACCATAACATATTATGTGCAAAATGTTGGACTCCAAGAAAAACAATTCTGCTCCAGCTGGGAAAAGTAATAAACGAAAACCAATAGATCTCTGAAATAACACTCAGTATGTCATAGTTTGCTGTGCAATATCGAACCCATTTACTCATGAGGTAAAAACAAAATGTGTTCCTACATAATGATATCTAATTGGTGGTTGAATATGAAGTGGTTCTAATTTAAAAGTCTCTTGAATTCCCATAAACGTGTTTCTTTACTTTCCATTTGTAAAAATAACTCTCATTATTAACACTCTGTTTTCTTTTTCGCTAACTCCTTGTAATCAACATTACGCTTGCATCAATCTGCATCAATGCCAGAGAAATGTGAGATGTTTTCAGGTGTTGGACCAGCTGTATAATGAACAAATCAAAAGGTCAAGTCTGACTAAATATAAAAATACCCCATTATCTGTGACAGACTTTCGTTGATTTGACTTCCACACACAGGTCAGATCCAACAATAAACCTGTATAAATGTTATGTTTAAGAAAGAGAGCTGTAAGAGTCAGACCCATAGGTATAAATAATTCACTGTGCAAAGAGTACTCTCCTCATATCTCTGGCATTTTATCTAGGATCACTCAGGAATCAACATTTTACACAGCTAGCTTTAAAAAATTACTATAATTTGGAAAGAATTAGATCAAATTAACAGTAGGATGCTGAATCTGAGGGGTGCTGTGTAATTTCCTGCTGCCCTCGAGGCTAAACGTGACCTTTAGTCGAACCAATTAATTTCAACATGGTTCATAAATAAGAAACATTAAGGCTGAATCACATGGCTTAACACTGTTATGATTAATCATTGCTTTGTGTGCTAACAATCCTCTGAAGATTACTGGACCACATGAGGTCTTTGATGGTGAGAAACAGAAGCAAAACAACTGCAGTCTTCATTTACGTAAACAGTTACAGCTTCTTGTATTTTGTCTCAGGCTTTAACACAGATTTACAGACGCACCTGATCGGGGTGTTTGTTCCTTTTTTCCTACATATTTGAAAACTCTTCTTGTTTCCCTGACATTGTAACGTGTTTCTGATCCACCAACTGCTGAAGTGAAATAAAGACATCCTGACAAATCTCAGTGGTTTTCATTCATACAAGATGACAGTTTAAACACTTGTTAAATACACATGGTCTTTAACATAAGATAACATAAGATAAGACGTACTTTATTGATCCCAAATGTGGGCATTTTTGCGTTGCAGCAGCATAATTAACAAAACAAGGCATTGCATATAAGGAGAAATTAAACAGTATAAATAAACAATACTAGAAATTAAACATCTCAAAATATACAGTAGACTGTGAAGATAAAACATCTATAAACTCTGACAATAAAACACTATTGAAGGGCTTTAGACACAATATAAAGCAGTACACATGTAGTGTAATGCCACATCTGATTCCCTTTAAATCTTACTAGGTCAAATTGTATAACATAAATATACAGCAGCTCTTCACTGCTAGCTCTAAAACTAAATACAAATTGTGGAAATCCGTGGTAATGTGCATGGTTTTACTTTCTTTTAGATGTATTGTAAGCTGGCGTCTTTGTGAGTGTGTGGTTGATGTGAGAAACGTTGAAAGAAAAGCGCTTTTTTCCCGGCGCCTAAACTATCAACTGTTGGAATCCCTATTTATGGACAACTATAACGTCCAAGAGCGTCCACGTCTGAAATGACTGTGAAAATATGGACATTTTCCAGTTGACTTGTGTGATAAGGTCAAGTTCAATCTGATTGTTACACATAATCAGTTCAGGATGATTGTTTCAACAACAGGGAAGCTACAAATCAAGTACTGACCATTTGGAGTAAAAAACGTATTATGTTTTATGTTAAATCACCAAATATGACCATGTATGGTTCTTTTGGCCTTTATAAAAGACAAATGAATGTCCTGTCCTGATGTGGTTGATGACACAGGTTGCAACATGTACTTTGTTTTTGTACAGATTATTCAATATAGATTACATTTTGATTGTTTTGAGAAAGGGGGAGATGTGTGGCTGGATGAAGAAAGACAGACAGATAAAGATGATATGGATAGAGAGGTAAAACAAGGATAGAAAGGAGGCAAAGAGACACTTGGTTAAAGTGTAATTTTATCTGAATAGAAGAAAAGATGGCTGCCGGCTGCTGAAACCCTGACAGCTTGCGCACACACACGCCTATGTATAAAAACAGACAGACTGAGAGGAGGGAGAGAACAAGTGGAGTCGAAGAACAACACCCAATCCAAAGACAAACAAAAGCAACAGACGAATGATGAAACGCCGTGACGAAACTGAAAAGAAAAAAGGGGAAAAAACACTCCATTTCTCCAACTGGCTATACAAAAAGGATTAGGAGAAGAATACATGTTTTAACGCTTCAGCTGGCTCGATGGAGGGACAGAAAGTGTGAAAATGCTGCTGCCTGAGATAGAAATTGACTATGAAGGGGAGAAAAAGGCCGAAAAATCACTATGTTGAATCTTTTACAGCAGAGAAGACTATACTCGTACAAGCGTGATACGAAGAAATAGGAGTGAATAGTGCAATTTCTTTGATTTAAGATAAAGAAAAGCGAGAGGTAAAAGATACATGCCCACAAAGGAGCACTGAACAAAGCGGCAAATTCAGATTAAAGATGGTGTAAACACAAAAACACATTCATCATAACAATGGTGACACAGAAGATAAGTCTGTTTCCAGAAGGTTTCCTGCTCTCTTATGGGAAATGGCAGCAGTGTTTTGTGCGTGACACAGAGTGCTCATATCGTCAGAGCAGATGGCTGAAGTGCTGATATCAACACCATCATCATTGATTTATGGGGAAGCTAGTGTCGCGCATGGATGCTGAAATGACTTTACAGTAAGTGTGCTTCTGCGTTATGGTTGTTATTGAGAGGAGAATACCCCTGGGCGTGTTTACTGTGTGGTTGTCCTCTTCACAGTGGGTTGAAAACGTTTCTAAACATTCAGCACATCGTCCTCGCTTCCTCCCGGGCAGAGGCAGCTGAAATTAACTTAAAGTGGACCTATCATGCTATATTTAAATGATATATTGTAGGGCCATACCTATATAAGGTATATTTATACGTTTCTGTTTTCAAAATACCAAACAGATCATGCATTTTAGCCATGCCTCATTTCGCTCTATGTGCTGTTTGCTGTCTACGGGTCTGATTCTGCTGACCACGCCCCCCTGCAGGAGAGGGGAGACGTGCTCTGATCAGCTGCTGGGCTGTCAGAAGAGGGGGAGAAAAAGAGATCTCCGTCCTCCGTGTTTTATTATATAGAGTCAAATCAGATCAAATCAAATCAAATCAAGGTTTATTTATAAAGCACATTTAAAAGCGATTTTTGGTCGGGCCAAAGTGCTGTACATGTAATAACTACAATCACATAAAAACACATTTCTATAATCACAATAAAAGACAATAAATTACAACAGATATTTAAAAAGAAAAACACAGGGAAAAGTCAGGAGTCGTGCTCCGCTCTGACTAAAAGGCCAGGGAGAAGAAGTGTGTCTTAAGAGTAGATTTAAAAACCCCTAGGGTCTGGGCCGACCTCACATGGAGGG